GCTTTTATAGTCACTTATTGTTCCTTTTAGCATAAGCACCTTTGCTATTATATATTTCATTTAATTAATTTATTATTCAGTTACTTATCCATTCATTAACCATTTATTAATTTTTTTCTATATGCTAAGCATAGGGGATATAATGGTGTGCAAAACAACAAAAGAAAATAAAACAAAAACCATGATCCCTAAACTAACAGAGTTTATATTCTAGATAAAAATATCAGTGAGTTAAGGAACTTTTCAATCTTGTTCAGCTTGCATATCAACTGCCTGGAACACAACAGGTACTCATTAAATGTTTTTTGAACAAATAAATGAATAACTACATGCCAGAAGGGGAAAGAAGTCCTTTGACTATGTTGTCTTGGATAGACCTAGTCCTGTATTTCTCTAGGTTATAATGTCCTGGTCAGCCACACACACTGTATTTGTGCAAGACTTGCTTGTCATGATGGCAGGCTTCATGACTGGAGACACCACTTTTGTAAGTCTGACTATTGCCTACACCATCCACAAAATCATGATGGCCTTTAATCTTATAAAAAATTTAGGTTAAAAATGTATTAAACAGACTCCTCAAAGAACCTGCTTTCCTTGAAGTCTGAGTACTCATGTGTATCTGAAACCACATAGCTGAGAAATTCTCTGCTAGAACATTACCATAAAACTAAGGCCTTCCTGGAAGTGACAGACCTCATCAAGAGGCAATGTAAATGCACCCTTATGTATGTAGTAGTTGGTCTCAATACCGATTGCTTATCATAATTCTCAGATATTAAAAATAAGAATTATAAAATTGTGTTCCCCAGTCTGAACTAATTAAATCAGTCTTTCTGAAGATGGGCTTCAGGCATCAATGTTTTAAAAAAGTATCTCAGGTGATTATCACATTCATGCAATGTTGAGAAACACCACTTGGCAATATCTGGTGGATATCCATGAAATCTGAAGGCGTGGAATTCAAGTAGGTGATGGAGCACATATTATATCAACATAATCTAAGATTGAACTCACCATTGACCTGAAAATGTCACAGCTGATCCTATCGCTGGTTTCAGGAATTACTTCAAGCTCTACCTAGGAGCATCTCTATGGATCTTGGCAGTATCTTCTAATTTCTCCAGTATTAGTCCTGTTGCCTTCAATGGAGTACCTACTTCTGTCTATCTTTTTTGTATTTATCACTGCGTTTGATGATCATGTTAGCATTTTGTTTTAGCATCTCCCCTACTCCCCTAAAGAGATTACTTCCTGGGCTCTAGAAACCATACTCTACAGACCAGTGACAAGACACCTTCATCTTTCTCACCTGCCACTGAGACCAGCTTCAATGAATAACTAGTTCAGAGAGTATAATACTGCCTGGGGATCATGTATGGGAGGTAAAAATCCACTGAAAATACTCCAGAGTGAGTTACAGTTCTTTGTTGGGAAAGCCTAGAACCCAGACAGGGCTGATGGGAAAGGCTATTCATCTATCTCACACATAAGGATCCTGTCCAGTGATACTGGCTTTGCCTAGACACTTCTCTGACATCCTTTGCATTAATAGTAACCCCACAGTAACTATGTGAAACTTAGTTCCCTTTCTTTTTAGCATCTAACTTAAACACTTTCCTTTTTTGTAGATTTGACTTACACTGTGGCCTTAGTACAGAGCACCAGATCTTTGCCTTTGATCCTTTATTGCCCTCCTAGACTGTGATTTAGATCCATCCCCTGAATGGTCCAACCTGTCCCCATAAGAAGGTCCTCATAGGTCACACCTTTGCTGCACTGGCAGCATGACTTGCATCCCTCTAGATACCAGGTTCAGTATATTTATTTGCTAGGATTGTCATAACAAGGCACCACAGCCTGTGTGGCTTAAATTTTAAAAATTTATTTTCCCACAGTTCAGGAGGCTGGAAGTCTGAGATCAAGGTGTTGGCAGGGTTAGTCTCTTCTGAGGCCTCTCTCCTTGGCTGATAGACTGCTGTCTTCTCCCTGTGTCTTCACTTGGTCTTTCCTCTGTACATGTCTGTGCTCTAATTTATTGTTCTTGTAAGGACACCCATCATACTGGATTAGAGCCTACCCTAATGACCTATTTAACTGACTTACTTTTTTAAAGACCCAATGTCCAAATACAGTCACATTTTGAGATAGTAGGGGTTTGAACATCAACATTGAATTCTGGGGAGACACATTTCAACCCATAACACTCAATAAATATTTGTTGATTAAGTAGTTCCTTATATTTGTCTACTTTTACTAGACAGTTTTCAAAATTCATTTTCTTATTAAGCTTTAATTCTACCACTGAGGGGTAAAGTTTGTAGGTGTTATTAGTTTTCTTTTATGGATGGGAAGTTAAAATAGAGAATTACACCATTTGTCTGAAGCTGGACAGTTAGTGGCAAGTCAATTTAGAATCTAGGTCCTTCTACTACTTGTTCACTGAAATTTTCCCCTGTTCCCTGCACCACCTTTTTCTTTTTTTTTCCAACTTAAATTTCTCTTTGAAATAATCTACAAGGCAAGAGCTCTTTCAATCATTTTTGGATATAATACTCTCATAATTTCTAGAAATTGTGAGATGAAGTAGGTTAGCTAGAATGTATTAATTTTTTTAATATAGCAGCTCCGGGTAAAGCTCATCAGTTGGACAGCCTGGTTCTTGCCTGGATTTATTTTAAGCTGACACCTAAATGATGTCAAATTCGGCAAAAATAAACTGAAAATTATGTGATTACCTGGTAGTTTTGGCTTTACTGGGCCAGGTACCTGGGTACTTGGAGGCAAAATAAAGACAGAGCTCTCAGGAATTATTAGGAAGAAATAGACTATGCAAAAGAGACATGCTATTGAAATGAATGTGCTTTATAAATATTAAGATAGGACATGAGTGATCTTGGATAGCTCCTTCTGAGCCCAAAACCCCCTCCCTGGCTCCTTTGACTCACTAGGCAGATAATCTTTTGCAGCTCAAAGTCTGTATATGTACAATGCTCACCATCTGCCTTTCCCCCTGCTGAGCTATTAGGCTGAGTAGAGAAGTATTTGTAAAGCACTTTCAGGATTCTTAGATGAAATGTATTTGTCAAGTAAAACATATCTCCAAGTGTTTCAATCTCACCTTGAAAGTCACCTCCCAGATCAAACTGATGTACATCAACACAGCAGGACATCTAGCTGGGCCAGAAATGAATTAAATGAAGGGCTATTGATGTACTTCTGGTCCCATCTCCCTGCCATAAAGAGTAATTTCCAGCTTTAGAAAAAGAGAACCTCAGGGGCAGCTCACTCCCCAGGACACTTTGTGGTAGGCCCAGGCAGAAAACATGTATTGTAGGAAGGAATCTTTTTGTCAACAAATAATACAACATGGCTCCTTTGAGTGGAGAAATATAAGCTAGTTAGGCATGCGTTCTTAACCCATGTATCTTCCAGTTGGTTTAACTCATGCAATTTATAAAGATGAAAAGATAATATAATAGCAGTGTCCAACATCCCCCTTTTTTCAGGACCTTTCCTGATTTCCCAGGTCCTAGTGAAGTGCTCCTCTCATGTTAACGACCCTTCTGGAGACCCTGCTCTGTGCCAGGAGTTGTTCTAATGCCTGAAGCTTCAAGACAGTCTCTTTATCATGGAGCCTACATTCTGGTGGGTTCTACATTCTACTGAGATACAATGAATGGGTATATCCGAAAATATGCAGCATTGGGTAGAGGAAGGAGGTTTCTTATATAGGGTAGTGAGAGAACTCTCTCAGAGGAGGTGTGGTGCTTTAAAAACGTATTCACAAATTCTTTGACATTCTTCCCATCAAAGTTGGAGCCCACATGATCTTTTGAGGCTGGTGGGGCCTTTGTTAATGCCTTGATGAGCAAGATAGAGTAGAAGTGACCCAACATGATTTTCAAGGCTAGGTTAGTAAAGGCCATGCAAGATCTGCTGGTTTATCTAAAAGGCACTTGCTCTGGGAAGCATTCATCACTATGTACGAAGCCGACTGCCCGGAGTCTACCTCGTGGCGTGCACACACGCACATGAACATATACACACACACACACTCCTAAGAAGAATCAGTCGTTCCAGTCTCCTAGGTTTCTGGGTCTTCCCTGCCCAGGGGACAGGCACATGAATGAAGAAACTATCATGATGACCTCAGGCCCACTTCTGACTACATCCATGTGGGAGACCTCTGACAACTGCTCCACTGAATGTAGCCAACCTTAGACTCAGGAGCCAAAGAAATAATTGTTGCTGTTACCTTAAGCTATTATCTTGGAATAATTTGTTACACAGCAAAAACTGAGCAGAACAGAAGGTGATATCTGATTAGGTCTTTGAATTAATTTAGAGAGAAGCTATGCAGGTGTCTAGAAAAAGAGTGTTCTAAGTTGGGGAGAAATAAGTGCAAAGGCCCTGAGGTGTCGTGTTGGAGCACCAGCAGATATAGTGACAGAGCAGAGTGAGCATAAAGGAGAGTGGCAGACGTGCGTGGAGAAAAGGCAGGGTGCAGCTCATGCCTTGTAGGCTGTGGCGAGGAGTTTGTATTTGATTCTGAGCTTGATGGGAATCCATAGAGTAGTAAAGAAGCAGGGGTAGCATTCAAACTTATGTTTTCAAAAGATTTTTGAGATTTCTGTCATTGCTAGAGGGAGAACTTAACACTGGAGAGTGGATAAGATTGGATACAGACCAGAAAGGATAATAATTTGGGTTGAAATAGTAACAGTGGGTTTGTTGAGAGGTGGGCAGACTTGGGATATATTTTAAAAGTAATACCAACAGGATTTGCTGATGGATTGCATGTGGGAGTGATACAAATGGAGGAGTTAAGTCTGATTCCCAGGTTATTACCTGAGAAACTTGGTGAACAGTGGTGCAGGTTGGGTAAGGATGAGTGGAGGAATGGATAGGTATGTTTTGGACATTTTAAGTTTGGGTTGCCTGTTAGATTTTCAAAAGGACATGTTGACTAAGTAATCAGACATTTGGCTTGTGAAAGAGGGGTGCACCATAGATATAAACTGGAGAATTATCAGAGTATAAGTGGCATTTTACACCATGAGGCTGGATGTGAGTGGGCACATCTAGAGTAAGGCCGAGGCCTGTGACAACATTTAAAGGAAACATTACAACATGTCTGTGTGCTGCTAGGAATGATTTGGCACAACGGGAGATATTGATGATGCAGGGGAGAGGGGCAGACTTACAGGAGCCCGGTCCCTGAGGAGGCTGCTGCACAGGAAGCCGGTGCGCAAGCCGACAGCTCACATGCAGGGGAGCAACTATTTGGAGATGCCATTTTTTTCACCCATGAGATTGTCATATATCCAAGTTGGCTAAGAGGTCCTGCTGATGAGGCTTTGGGGAAACACACTCATGTTTGCAAAGAGATGGTCACTGAAAATCCCCAGCAGCTCAGCAGTAGCACTGTAGCTGTGGCTGAAGATAAGTATCTGCAGCCATGTGGTATCCCCTGAAGGCCTGCTGAACTCCATCCCTTCCTCTCCTGAACCAGAAGGCATATCAGAATGAAAGTAATGGTAAGGTTATTATTTTAACAAGTATTTCACCCTTACTGAGGTCTTACCATGTGCCAGGCACAGATCTTGTATGTTCACTACATGCATAATGATTTAGCCTTCACTAAAAACCTTACTAGGTAGGTGCTATCATTGGTACTGTTATGGGTTGAATTGTGTTTCCTCAAAAAAACACATTGAAGTGCTAACCCCTGCACCTCAAAATGTTACCTTATGTGGAAAGAGAGTCTTAACAGAGAAAATAAAGTTAAAATGAAGTTATTGGGGGGTGGGCCCTAATCCAGTATGACTGGTGTCTTTATAAAACCAGACAGACATCACAGAGGGAAGGTGATGTGAAGGTGGTCTTGTGATGATGGCAGAGGCAGATTGGGGTCATGTTGCTGCAAGCCAAGGACTGAGGCACCACCAGGAACCAGGAGGGATCCTACCCAGGGTCTCAGAGGGAATATTCCCTTTTGACATCTTAATTTTGGACTTCTGGCCTCCAGAATGCCCTTATTCATATATCATTTTTCAAGTGGATAATTGTACCTGAGGATTAGTTCATAGAAGTGATAAAACTGGGTTGAAAGGAAATTACTTTTGTGACTTTACTGAAATTGCCCCATGTCCCTGTAGGGTTTGTATTTTTTTGAACTTTCACCAGCAGAGTGAAATGTATGTGAGACTATACATTTCTGTTGTTTGAAGCCTTCCAGTTTGTGGTACTAGGAAATGGGTACACTCAGCATCCCACAGATGAGGGAATGAAGGTACAGAGAGGTTGAGTGACCTTCCCAGATTTACATGGTGGGTTGGTCAGCAATGGTGTGTCCACCTGAGTTTGGGGAGCCTAGCTCCAGAGGAGTGCTCCACTCTGGTCAAAACTGCATTAAAAAAAACATTTGCAAACTTCAACTTTTTGGCTGAACTAGGTATCTCACTTCTTGACTGACCTGAACACTTTGTTTTGACCTCAACCCTGTATCAAAGGGCAGAGCACAGAGTGTTCAGAGTAGGGCAACCTTAATGAACTCTCAGGGACCTGGCAGTGGGGGCGCTTGAAGACAAATCTAGTTCAGCAGTGCAGCTGCTTGGAATTGGGGGACCAGGCAAAGGGCCTCCTGGTTCCCGAAAACAGCTGAATGGGGCCCAGATCCAGGGGGTCCTAACTTCAAAGCAGTTGAAGCCTTCCCCATAGCCTCTCATTTTTTTAATAGCTGGAGTCACAATACAGGATTCATGCGTTGTTTAAATTATTATTTTAACTTAAAAAAGGGTAAGTACAAGAAGGCTAATGCAACTTTCAGTAACTACCTTCCCCAATCCCCTCTGAGTGGGATAATTCTTCTTAGATAATGTGGGAAGAGGAAGCAATAGAATGAAGGATAGTGTGGTGGAGCACTTCACCCAAACCTGTGCTGGTCTGTGTAGCACCTCTCTGAGACCCCTGCAGGAAGATGCAGCCCTGTGAGCAAGCCACGTGCTGAGGGGGGCCCAGGTGCAATGGTAGCCTCCACTGTGCGAAGAGGCAGGCAAAGATGTGCCTGAGATGGATGTCAGAGTCCAAAACAGAATTTGATTAAACCAAGAGTCAAATGACCAAGGGGGGATTGAACACAGGTCAGTTATGTCTGAGCGGGAGGCAGTGTTGGGCAGATAGCTGCCCCTACCTACACTGTCAAAGCTGGAAATATTTCAATACTGTCACCAGATGGGACCATGCTGTTTCAGATCACACAGACCTTGTGTTTTCCAGCATTCTGAGTACCATATTCCATAAGCACATAGTGTCTGCTTGATTTATTTCCTGGATAAGCTTAGCATGGGCTTCATGTCCCAGTCAGGATCAGAGCAAAAAGAAAGAAAGTAAGTGTCTTTACTGGAACTATAGCTGACAGGACCACACTGTGGTGATTCTTCTTGAATGGAAGAATTACATTAAACCTGAGAACACAATGTGTGCTTCTGGACAAAACTTAGGCTGTAAGGAGAGGCAAAATGATTCACCTTTGCCTGATGTGGGATCTAAAGGATGATGTACACAATAGTTAAAAGACTTAGACATTGAGGTGGTGGAGGAAAGATAAATTTCCTAATTTTGAACTTCTTAGGTGATAGATATTGATCAACCTTGGTCTATTGGTCATACTCTGATGAAAATCAGCTTTGTTTCATAATTCTAAGTATCTAAAAACTATCTCAGCCTTGTATTTCAAACACCTTGTTTAGAAAAAAATCCCTGGAAATAGCAGCAGCTTTCCTCAGAAAACTCTCAAAGACACACCCTATATCTTTTCTTATCCTTTTACAAAGTCTAAATTCTGGGGCTATGTATCTCAATGTGGGCTGAAATTTTTTACCTGCTTTGCTGCTAAGAAGTAGATTTGCAACATCAAAGCCCACAGTGAAATTCCAAAGACAAACAGAAAAGGGACTCACCTAGGAGTGGGCCCAGCTTTCAGGATGCTTATTTCTAAGATGCATGTTGCAAACGTAAGCCACTGGCCGGCATACATCTCTGGCGAGGCAGCTCCGAGTGGGATGGCCAGACAGGTCCTACAAAGCTTTTATTTGCAGAAGGCCAGAGGACAAGGGAACAATAATTGTTTCACTCTGGATTTTGGGTTTCCTGGGAGCTGAAGTCCAATGAAAGGAGAGCCATTTCGTAATTCTCAGCCTACTGTTTTCTCATGTGGACAAGTACATTTGGACAATGAGCCTGTGGGTGCCAAATTGCTAAGACTAGCAGGAGTGCCATGTTAAAAAAAAAACAAAAACATGTTAAAAACAAAACAAAAACCCAAGTGGTTCTCATCCTCAATACTCTGGAAGGCAAGATGAGGGGATGTGCAATTTGGAGGAAAAAAGGTCTGTGGATCATTCCTATAGAGGCATAAACTCAAAATTAATGAAAGAACTGTACTGACTAGAAAACACAGACATAGATGTTCCAATCTGAGAAGGAGCTGTGTGGGTTATTTCCTAACAGGCAGGCAAAGTATAGAATGCAACCGTAAATCTAGCTTTCTTTATAGACAGAGTGCATTGTTTTGAAGCATCCAAGTAAACTCCCTAAGGTATTTACAATATCCTGAAGGATGATATGACCTTTTTATCTCAGAAACAAACCTGTCAGCAAGATGGATTCTGTGACAGAATAATTTGCTCTAACCCACCATAAAGGACTGTGGGCAGGGTATGGTGTTTTGGAGGTCCCAGGTAAAGTGGACATCACAGCTGCTCTTAAAACACTGTGCAATAAAATGACCTGGAGACCTGTGAAAAATCACTGAGGCCTGCTTACCTTGCACTTGATTCTGGTTGAAATGATGTGGGGTGGGATTCTGCATTAGTGCTTTTGAAAGCCTGCTGGGCTATTCAAATGAGAAGCCAGCACTGAAATTCGGAATGACCACCTTGAGAAGACATGAGATGCAATATATCTGTCATTCAGTTTTATTTTTTAATTCACTGACATAGGACTTAAGGAAATTTTATAATAATTTATTAATTACAAATAGGCAATTTTCAAACATGAACACATACAAAGAGCAATAAATCAGGGATTGGGGCTGGAGGATAACATATACTGCTAGTTATTGTAGTACTGCCTTATATTTCCACTAATGGTTCTACTTAAAATCTGAGTTCTCTGTCTCACTACTCTTTCTTGCCCCTTCTCCTTTCATGCAGAGAGCCTGAGGTCTCTAATGGGACTAATATCATTGGTGCCTGAATTTACTGTTGACCTGTAGACCATGCAGAATTGCCAACTAATAAGGTGATTCGAATGTGTATGGCAACACTTGCAAGTACGGCAATGAATAAATCTATGCCCAGACACTTGGGAGTCTTAGTTAATGACAAGTGGGTTGCATCCAGGTTTAGTATGAATCTGTCAACTATGATGAAACAATGCTCAGAACTCTTACATGGCTTCTTTGGATCCTGCCAGGATACATACAGAAAGAAAGAATGAAAGAAGGACTTGAAGCAGGCAGGGTAAGATGATGTTAAAGCTAATTAGACTTAATGCCAATTGATTAGCCTTTGTGATACTTGACTTGATAATTAGGGGTGAATGGAGATTGAAAATCACCTCTCTCCTTGGAGACTCACTGGAGGTGATTGGGAAGAGGAATTTCTTTGCAGACTTGTTGAATGCTGAATTGCTCTGTGGAGTTCTATTTATTTTATCTCCATGGTTCAGGCTAAATGTAATGTAGCAAAGTAATAGGAGCAGTAGAGCATAATAATAATATATTAACTATATATTCTATTAGTAACAGAAAAACAAATAAAATATGTAATTAATACAACATGCTTTACATTTTGTTAATACTTCTAACTCTTCTCTGCCCTTACCATCTATCACATATCTGAGATGTTTTTAAATGAGATTTATATTTCAATGTATACATAGGGGAAATGAAGCATGAGTCACTACACTACAGAAATGAAAATAATAACCTTCTTTATTTGCAAACATTTAATGGCTTCCAAAGAACAGAATGGATAAATGTTTATTGGACTATTATGATGTGCTAAACTATCCATCTATCATCTATCTATCTATATCTATCTATCTATCTATCTATCTATCTATCTATCTATCTATCTATCTATCTATCTATCTACCTATCTATCAACATCTCTATCTATCTTTCATCTATCTACATATAATCTCGTCCAGTCTTCAAAATAACCCATGTCGCAGTTGCAGAAACTGAGTTGCTCTGAGATTATATCACTTGCCCAGCATCACCCACCCCCAGTGGTGAGTAACTGGAATTTGAACTTGGTATGTTTGATGCCACATCTCCAGCTTTCCCCACCACACTACCAGATTCTGTTGTTATTATTTAATTATGCCATGTTAAGCAACATGAAACTATAAATTCCCTCACAAAATTCTTCCAACTCCACAAAAGTTAAGCTTTTTTATTCTCATCTTACAAGAGAGGCTTAGAGAAACACTGCCAAGGCTACACATGAAGTGGCAGAGGTGAGATTTGAACAAACCATGTCTTCAAACTCTAAGACTCTGCTGAGAGTTCTTAAAGTTTTCACTACTCAGGGAACTTAAAAAACATTTTTATTTCCCACTGGTTTTAATTTGTTAGGGAATATTGTGGTACTAAATTATATTTATTGCACACTAATAATACTTTTTCTCATTTTTAAGACAGAGACATGCGCATGTGCATGTGAGAATATATGACCATCAGGCAGAAACACTTAATTTTTACTGAGGTGATATAAATGTGTTAAGTGTAATTTCCATTTGGCTCTCTTAAAGTGATGGAAACAGTTTTTTGAAAGTTTATTATTAGTGATTTCATAGACTCTTAGTGACCAGACATCTCAAGTTGAAACCACCATCTCATTCTATATCTGCCTCTAACTGAATCCCGAAAGATCCATGTGTCTTACAATGCTGCAATGAAATTGTAATGTTTTCACTTGGAGCACATGTCTTGCTGGAGGTAATTAGAATCACTGAGTAGGGACTTTGAGATGACCATCCACTGCAGACCTCGTGGTTTTAATGTGTCTTGTTTGCTGCTATGTCCCTAATACATAGGATTGTGCCTAGTACACACTGGGCTTCAATAGCTATTGTGAATTGCATGCATTAATAGATGAATAAATTAATACAGATGGGGGAAATGATGTCCAGAAAGGGGAAGTAACATTTCCAACATCAGACAGTCAGGAGTAGGGACAGCATCAGATTCCAGATCTCTCTTTTAAGGGTTGAGTTTGTTCTCCTTGGTTCTTATCCCTGCTGCAACCCACTAACTCAGAAGCTCCTTTGGTTTCCTGTGGGCTGCTCTCATGTCATGTTCTCTGCATCTCAATCAAATCTCAGAGGAAGAGGAAGCCTGCTTTTATTTAGGACTATCTGCTGCCCTATACATGCACCTTGACTTTCCAGGATTCTCTTGAATTTGTTGTTCTCTCTCTTTTACATCTTCAATTTCTTCATTTTGGTCAGTTCCTTCTCATCGGCCCATGAATGTGCTCCAGTTTCTTTTATTTTGAAGAATTCTACCTAATTCCTTGATTTTTCTCTTATTGCTATTACCCTTGTTAGCCAAACTCTTGCATTCTGTATCATCTTTCTTTACTGCATGACTATGCTCAAACAGTGCCATGTGCCTTTTGCCTCCATGACTTCACTGAAAACCTCCTTATTGCTAAATTTGATGGATATAATCAAACACATAGTTCTTGCTTTGTAACTCCAAGGAAGCTCTTCTTATATTCCTTATTTTCATTAATTAGTCACAACTGTCTTTCTGGTTTCTATATCTAGAAGTTCTCTTTGCTTTTTATGTTTGAATATTTTGACAATACACCAAGCATTAAGCAGGCTCCTAGAGATTACTTCATAGTTATTCCATAGTTATTTTATAGTTATTGGATGATTAGTTGATTTCACTCAGTTCAGGTATATTTGGCTTCTGGAAGCCAGGAGTTTGACAAAAAGAAAGTAGTATTTGAGGACAAAAATGTATACAGATTTATCAGTTAACCACGTGTGAACCCAACTAAATATAATAGGCGATGATGCCTTGTAGATCTTAAATTCTCTTAAATTTCTTTCTTAAAAATTATGTTTTCTAGATTCTTTGCAACTTCAAGGCTGAACCCCAAGGCTTATTGCCCAGGGAAGGAGATGGTGAAATAAAGCAGCAAATGATCACCTATAAATGCCAAAGCAGTGGGGACAGCATAGGTTATGATACAGATAATGTGGAAAGACAGCCTCTCTGGCTCAGAGAAATTGTGAGAGGGAGGGGGCCAGAGGTGGAGCGGCAGGCCTGGAGAGTGTGTTCTGAGCAACTCCTTCTGGCCAGATTTCAGGATGGGGCCAGCATATCAAGTAGGTTGAGATCAAACACAGATGTTTCTGTCCTTGCCATCTGCAACCCTGGGACACCAACATCTGGACTTTCCCAATATGGGGAAGCCAAATCAGAATAAAAGCAGTTGTGGTGTGTGGTTGGGCAGAGGAGGGGGGACCAGATTTGACTGTCCTGTGCCACAGCGGATAGCATGAGCCCCTCTGTTCTGAGTAGGGATAAGGATGGTGGCTGGCAGGCTTGCTGGGACATTTGCTACATCAAGGATAACGTGGCAGTGATAGAAAGTCACTTACAGTCAGTCCGGTGTGAGTGAGGGCCAAGGTGGGGACCTAGGCAGCGGGGAGAGCCAACAGGCCATGGGGGCCCCCAACTGCACGGACAGGAACGGAGCCTCCATTCTTCAGCCAAAAGCTGTAGCTACAGATGCCAGCAAGGCAGTGAGCAGGGCGACGAGGTGCATGCTCTAGGGTCTGAGGATCTGCCTGAGCATGCAGACCCCTCCTCAACAGCCCCTTACTCACCGGCCCCCACCCCCACCCATAAAACCAAACATTGTCATGAAGAGCAGGAAGAAGGGAAGAAATCTGAAACACTGGGCACATATCCAAAAGAGACAAAGTTACCTATAGAGGGAGTGACAATGACCAGATGGAGGTTATAGGACCATCTAAGTGCTGGCATTCACACCTGGCAGACTGGACATCACATGAAAGAGCAGATGAGTGAAAGAAAGAAAGAAAGAAAGAAAGAAAGAAAGAAAGAAAGAAAGAAAGAAAGAAAGAAAGAAAGAAAGAAAAAAGCAGAACATGGATACAGTTTCTCTCTGCACCTGCATGTGGCATCAGCACATTTTTTGCCCTGTTTTAGAATACATTTGTCTCCTGCAGACACGTCTGCTAGTCCTTCTTCTCTAGGGATACGGCCGGTCAGTAATTACAGATGATTTAAGGCAGGAACTTAATCCTATTTCTGGTCCAGTATTATCTCCTTCATTTTTTTCTTTTTCCTGATGTGCTTTTCTCTGTCCGGGATTGTGTGCTGCTTTGTCGATGGGCTGCAGGGCGTGTCTCTGCTCTGTATTCACCTGTTCAGTTTCCAGTCTCACCCTTCAAAGGTTCATTTTTGTCAAATTAAAAGATGAAGAAAAAACGCTGTGTAAAATAAACTGTGTCATCAGTATAGTTTTGATCTGGTTCATTAAGAGCATGATATCATTGGATGTTAGATTTTGATGAAACTATACAACAGTTATTGTTATAAAGTGGGCCTGTGTGAACAGTCTTTTCATTGCCCGTGGACCACACACCTAGCCTGTGAGCACAGGCAGGATGGTTTGATATTTATAACAGAAGAAATTGGAAGAACATTACTCACAGCCATCCTTCATTGTGAATAGTCTGAGGTTTGTATTAAAAACATTTAAACATGATGATGGGAAATTAAAAAAAATTAGAATGGGCCGAGTATGAAGTTAAATTGATATGTTGCATTTAAAACAACTAGAAAATTGAAACTTTGAAGTGCTACTTAATTCAAAGTTTGAAAAGGCCAAAGGGCAATAAGTTTGCCTAATTAAAAATAAGCATAAGCTTAAAAATAAGTGTTAAGCCTATTGGTTATAGGAAGTATAAGAGGAAAAAGTACAGTTGATCCTTAACAAGGGTTGAACTGCAAGTATCCACCTACATGTGGATTTTTTTCAATAAATATATTGAGAGAATTTTTGGAGTTTGTAACAACTTGAAAAAAAATTTATTGTGATACACTATGTAATGCATATAAAAGACAAGTATGTGTTAATCGACTATTTATGCTATAGTAAGGCTTCCAGTCAACAGTCGGGTATTACCAATTAGTACTTAGGGGAGTCAAGGTTATACTAGTTATTGTGCAAGGGTTGGTGTCCCTCAACCCTGTGTTGTTCAAGGGTCAGCTTTCCTATGAAGAGAATAAAATCTCGGTGAGTGTAAGACATAAAGGTGTAAAGGCAGTGGGGCCACCTTTGGGATGCACTGGAGTGGTTCAGTGGTTAGTGGGAGGTTAAGTGCTGGAGCCCAGGGTGGGATTTCACTTCAGCCACTTGCTAGCTTTGTGACTTCAGACAGTTCCTTACATTCCTCACACCTCAGAGTCCTCGTCTATAAAATGGTGGTGGAAATAGCAGACCACCTCACAGTGCTGATATGAAAATTGAATTTTTTATGTAACACACTTGGCCTCTGTAGATGGCAAGTGCTGGGAAGATGTTTGCTGTTATTGTTCAATGACCCCTGGGGCCCATCTGTGAATTCACTATTGTTGTCCAAAGCGTGCAGGGCTGTGCTTGCAGTCAAGGAACCTGGAGAATTGCGCAGCACTTCAGCAAGTGAGAGCTCAGGAGTTTTACAGTTCTCCCCCAGTATCCTTCCAACTGAAAGGGCATATCGAGTTCAAATGAGGTTATGTCACCATCAAAGCCTCCTGTGCAGTGGCATTGAGTTCCCTGCTCTCTTCTGACTTTCACTGTCTCTGGTGATCATGCTGACACACAGAAACCAACCCACTGCATTCTTGAGCTCCTACCTTCTAGTCAGGGTGCCATACCATGGGATTTGCTGACTCTGCTCTCCACTCGTATGCTTCTCTTCTGCTCTGAGGGCTCTGTGGAGTCAAAGACCCTTGTGATCTGCATTTGGAGATGGGCCAACTTGGGTTAAACTATCACCTGCATGTGTGGAAGATCTATTAGGTAATCCATCACACATGTCCAAGGCCCCCTTGCCAGGGCTGGCTTCAAGGGCATGCTACCAGCACAGGGCTCGGCACTCAGAAAGGCCTGTGCTGGGTTTAATGCTCTATTGTTGCTATCTTGAAATGTTTAATTTTTATGTTTGGACTTTGTTTTGAAAGCAAAATCCACACATGAGCAGAGGGAACAAGCATTGTGTCTCCTCTTCCATGCTACCCTGTGGGCAGTGTTTATGTTGTCCCATGAACAAGGAATTCAGGTGGCTCCATGATACATAGCAATTCAGTGACTCAAAGGAAAAGTGAGTGTGAGGTGGGAGTACTATGTCTATGACTGAGTGACAGCCCTGAGAGGACCCACACACTGTCTGAACTAACATGTGCATCCCCCCACCACAAAACACAAATGATGGAGAGATGTTGTTATATCTTACCATTCTTATAGTATTACTTCCCTGCATTAGCCATCTTCATACAGTGGATATAACAGCATAGAAGAAAAGGGAAGAAAGGGTAAACCATAGTTCCTTGTTTTCCCCCATTTTTCTTTACTCATTAGTAAATGAAAGGTAGAGTGTACTGGTAGAATGTACATGTGTTGAGAAGTGGATTAAAAATAGTTGGGTTAGTGTTACACAGTGTTTCTACTGCACAGACACTTTGATTCTCCTCTTCCCCTCTCTCTATCAGCTCCTGTTCCAAAAGCCCCCTTACTGGCTCCCAAACACAAGGTTCTGTGATGATCAATAGGTTGTAAGTACGAACCTGGTCAGGGAAGCCTCAGACACACCCCAGAAACAGCCACAGCCCACTCAGGTCCCTTGTATCTTTCAGAATGGCAATAATCCTTCCCTGTCACAAATGAGGTAAAATAACAGTGACTGAAGTCAACCACGTGGAGGGAGAATTGACAGAAAACATGACTATCAGAGTGAGGCTGTTTTGTTTTTCTTTTATAACCACCTCATCTCTGGTCACCACAGAAACCCAGTTTCTTTGCCAGAGATTAGCCCACACTGTTGTCTCTTGGAGACTGGCACTCATATGATTTCAGCTTATTGTAGAGGCTCAATAATTAAGTACATACTTTCAGAGAGGCAAGGACAAATGAGGGGCTCCAGCCCTCATTAGGTGAGATGACACATGGCTGGACCTTGTCCAGCAGCACTGCTGTAGTTAGAGCAGGTCACCAGTCTGCTGCTGTGTGACCATGTTTGGCATATCAACTTAGAACATGAGCCTTAGTTATTTTTAATAGAAGGGAGTTAGTTAAAACATTTCCCAGAAAGAATTTGGCATTTTACTATTAGGCAATCTCCTCTAGTGGGAATAGCTTACATATTTACCAGGGACTTTGGGGGAGCTCCTGTCTTTCACTAGAGGACTTTGGATTGAACCTGTTCCAGGAACACGGGTCAGAGTCCTCACTCATCAGCTTACTGCAGGGTCAAACTCCTGAGTTAGCTACTTCCTCTGCTCTTCCCCCCTCCCTGCTTTCAGCACAGGAAAGACACAGAATCACACTCTGCTTGGCTCTCTCTATTTAGCATGGAAATTGGAAATCGCTGACTGAGAAGGTCTCCTTACTATAATGCATAGTTTTACAATAAAATACCATTGAAATGACTTCCTTAAGAGTTGGAGTAGATTGCAGCCCTTGTATAGCTGGATACCATTCTTGGATGAGATGGAGCAATAGCAGATCCCACCTCACAAGATTATTGTATCAATAGAATGAAGTTACGTTGTGTAAACGGTAAAGCACTTCATAAATGCAAGATAATCTTGAGAAAAATCAATCCCTTCTCCCTTTGCATTGCCTTTATGTGAGGAATTTGGAGGTGCACTGGCTGCTCAAGTTCAGCTTTTAGCTTTGATATATCTTCTGCCTAAATGAAACCTTCCTTCAGGTTTAACAGGATTACCCTAAAAACTGAACTTCTGGCATACAGGTGGAAAAGCCACTGTTACTAAAGAGACCGTAAAGAAGATGTTTGTTCCTACTTCACAGGGACACTCCAGTGAGCACCTCTCCCCAATAGGTCAACAGCAGTTCTTACCGCACTACAGTGGATGTCTTCTCCTTGTTCACATGAGCAAGGGTTAACCTCTGGTGAGATCCTGCAGATTAAGCCACGTGAAAATAGCCCACAAGCTCCGTGGGTTCGACACACTGCCAAGCATCCGGATAAGTCACATAATCTGTGCAACATGTTCTTATCAGCAGCCTTCTCCAGTTCATTGGTGGCTTACTGGGGGCTCCTTTTGTGTGGCATCTCTTTCTCTATATTCTACTCATTGTTGTGAGAAAGACGAATGTTTCACTTAAGAGGAAAGGTAAGGTAATAGTACTGAACATCCCGTAAGAGTAAACACCCATCAGTGACCCCCTCCACCCCCAGGTTTGTCTTCCTCCTTAGAAAAGTCAAGTTTAACACTAAGACTTCCATATCCAAGCAAGACATGTCTTGAGGTCATCTTTCCTGTAGATTTAGGTCTTCTTGAAAAGAAGAACAGTCTTAAACTTTTGTACCAGGAGAGAGTTTAAGAGTGTCCCTCTGCTACAGATGTCTGATCATTGGCCTGCCTAGCAGACATAGAAGCTCTCCCGAGCGGCCTGCACTAGCCTGGACCAGTCCATGCCACTGGGACTTGGCGAGGTCAAACATGCTCTGAATAAAGAACAAAGGGAGGCAAACGGTAAAAGATGTGAACCAAGTGCTCACTGATAAATGACTTCTATACTAGATGTCAGTCAAGGTTGCTATGGCTGGACCTTGTCCAGCAGCACTGCTGTAGTTAGAGCAGGTCACCAGTCTGCTGCTGTGTGACCATGTTTGGCATATCAACTTAGAACATGAGCCTTAGTTATTTTTAATAGAAGGGAGTTAGTTAAAACATTTCCCAGAAAGAATTTGGCATTTTACTATTAGGCAATCTCCTCTAGTGGGAATAGCTTACATATTTACCAGGGACTTTGGGGGAGCTCCTGTCTTTCACTAGAGGACTTTGGATTGAACCTGTTCCAGGAACACGGGTCAGAGTCCTCACTCATCAGCTTACTGCAGGGTCAAACTCCTGAGTTAGCTACTTCCTCTGCTCTTCCCCCCTCCCTGCTTTCAGCACAGGAAAGACACAGAATCACACTCTGCTTGGCTCTCTCTATTTAGCATGGAAATTGGAAATCGCTGACTGAGAAGGTCTCCTTACTATAATGCATAGTTTTACAATAAAATACCATTGAAATGACTTCCTTAAGAGTTGGAGTAGATTGCAGCCCTTGTATAGCTGGATACCATTCTTGGATGAGATGGAGCAATAGCAGATCCCACCTCACAAGATTATTGTATCAATAGAATGAAGTTACGTTGTGTAAACGGTAAAGCACTTCATAAATGCAAGATAATCTTGAGAAAAATCAATCCCTTCTCCCTTTGCATTGCCTTTATGTGAGGAATTTGGAGGTGCACTGGCTGCTCAAGTTCAGCTTTTAGCTTTGATATATCTTCTGCCTAAATGAAACCTTCCTTCAGGTTTAACAGGATTACCCTAAAAACTGAACTTCTGGCATACAGGTGGAAAAGCCACTGTTACTAAAGAGACCGTAAAGAAGATGTTTGTTCCTACTTCACAGGGACACTCCAGTGAGCACCTCTCCCCAATAGGTCAACAGCAGTTCTTACCGCACTACAGTGGATGTCTTCTCCTTGTTCACATGAGCAAGGGTTAACCTCTGGTGAGATCCTGCAGATTAAGCCACGTGAAAATAGCCCACAAGCTCCGTGGGTTCGACACACTGCCAAGCATCCGGATAAGTCACATAATCTGTGCAACATGTTCTTATCAGCAGCCTTCTCCAGTTCATTGGTGGCTTACTGGGGGCTCCTTTTGTGTGGCATCTCTTTCTCTATATTCTACTCATTGTTGTGAGAAAGACGAATGTTTCACTTAAGAGGAAAGGTAAGGTAATAGTACTGAACATCCCGTAAGAGTAAACACCCATCAGTGACCCCCTCCACCCCCAGGTTTGTCTTCCTCCTTAGAAAAGTCAAGTTTAACACTAAGACTTCCATATCCAAGCAAGACATGTCTTGAGGTCATCTTTCCTGTAGATTTAGGTCTTCTTGAAAAGAAGAACAGTCTTAAACTTTTGTACCAGGAGAGAGTTTAAGAGTGTCCCTCTGCTACAGATGTCTGATCATTGGCCTGCCTAGCAGACATAGAAGCTCTCCCGAGCGGCCTGCACTAGCCTGGACCAGTCCATGCCACTGGGACTTGGCGAGGTCAAACATGCTCTGAATAAAGAACAAAGGGAGGCAAACGGTAAAAGATGTGAACCAAGTGCTCACTGATAAATGACTTCTATACTAGATGTCAGTCAAGGTTGCTCTGGGACAAGTCTCCCCCCTGGACTCCTACTGAATTCCCAGGAAGAGAATATGTATAGGGCTGAGAGAGGAGAATAGGTATTGAAAGATATAAGACAATAATTTATTCATGGTGTTATTTCATGGATTTCTACTTTCTTTTCAGCTTTGTGACGATCTAGAATGCATCATTACTAACTTTTGCTCACCTTAGACTGGTGTATTTTATGCCTTGACTCTAATGTATCAGTTCAAAGCGGGGGTCAAGTATTAGAATAAACTGATAATAAGACTTGAGATTCTGCCACTCCAGTTTATTGACATGAGTAGATACGTAGCTTTATTTGCATATGGAAAAGTGCACAAAGAAATGAGTATGTACAAAACAGTGTGTGGCTGATTTTTTCTTTCAAAACTTTTTCTACTTTCAAAAATTCAACTTCCTAGAAATAAATGCCTCCAGTTTAGCACATTTAAGTATTTGGACTATAAAATACTACTTTAAATATGTGTTTATAATGACTGAGTAGGAAGCCAGATAGAAATTATGCCATACATGATCAGCTATTACCATTAAACAGAAAACCCCGGGACTTCAGCTTGGGCTGCTTGGGGTTAATCCAGAGAGGTTCATGAGGGCACTATCCTGTTTAGATCCTTAGCAGTCACCCTCTTCTTCTACCCAGAGGTAACATTGTCTGTGGTTGATTAACATCCACAAGGACCTGAGCATTAGGTATCAAGAGACAGCATTAAAAAAACCAACAAAAAACAAAATAAAACTCTTTTTGGCAAGAACAAACCCTTCAGAACTGTGCGAGCAATAGGACTGAAAACGAACTGGGAAAGTGTCCAAGGATGAGAGAAATACTGCAGACATTAGATTTTCAGTGATACCTCCAAAAACTTGTTCTACGGCTCTCCTGCTTCTCCCTCCTCCTCCCTCTGCCCAATTTATCTTCCTACCAACTATGAGATTGTGGCTTCGAGAAAGTTTTCCAGTTACTTCATTAAGGTGTAGCACTGACCCAAAAAAGCATCTATATGCTTGGTACAATCACATTTAACTTTGTGATGTATTGCTCTTAAGAATACAATCATTCACTGCTGAGTTGAGTTCAGTTTACTTCAACATTAATTGCTCATCAGGGACTTCAGCTCCAAAGGATGGCCTCCTATCCCACAGAAAAGATAAAGATTGTGACCTTTTGCAATTCTAGTTACTGGAATTAGTGATTACTGAGATGGTGGAGAGGTTTCAGACCTGTGAGTCATTGGGTTTTTTTGATCCATAAAAAGCTGTTACTTGTGAAGGGAATTTTGTTATATGAATCCAGGAGCAAAACTGACTGAAAAAGGAATCAGAAGGAAAGGAGGAAGGAGGAGATATGAATAATGCTTTTCCCTCATTGGCAAAAGCTAGCAAGAGATTGCCCTTGAGAGAAAAATGACCTTCAGAAAGAGAGTTATGCTTTTAAATAGGTTCTTACATGTGTCAGATTCCAAAATGCCTAAGGAGAAGTTGGACATGCTTAGATTTTACTTGACAAATACTCTGTAAGTGATGGTCTGAAGCAAGATTAAATTAGGTGTTTGGTTCTACTAAAATCTTTAGGTTGCATGCTGTAAAACAGAATACCCAAAACAACTTTGAACAGTAAAGATTTTAAAATTTATTCAAAACAGTATAATCAAAGGGTTTGTGGTGGCTGCATCTCTTAACCAGAGGGTACATGATAAAGTGTTCTAGAAGGTTTTAGGGATACAAAAGGCAAGGGTTCAAGTATGGAAACTACTTCATTTACATTTAAAAATGCTAGAGAGTTTAGGTTCTTAATTTATTTAAAGCCATAGATTCAATTTAGCTTTAACCTAAATAGAAAATGAAAGGCATTTTACAAGTGCAAGAGGCAGCAAGAAATAAGGCAACAGATAATATGTCAAAGCTGGAGCATGGGCAGAGGTCGGGACTTGTTGGCTATTAGCTTTGTCCTTGACTCCTAAAGCCAGTCTTTTTGTTCCTCTGGAAAGTCAGCATGCCAAATTCCTAGAAAATTACAGAGAAGAAAAAAACATGGTTAGAATTTTGGATTTGAATATCTATGCATTAAATATCAAGTCATTACTTAAAATGTCAATAATACTATTCCCTAGGGCTGATGCAAGAGCACTGAATAAGATAAATGTTAAATCTGTAAGAAAGAATAACACAAATGCTCCCTAATGTCAATTCTTTTCTCCCAAGATAGTTGTCCTCCCCCACTCCAATCTGTAGGTTTAGCAGGTTGACCAAAATGATCCTTCCTTCAAGATCTAAGGAAGAAAGGGCCTCCAAAGAGAAATCTAGACAGTTTGAGAGCAAACAATCCTCCTAGCCACCTAGTGTAGTTTATTCCACTGTGTTAGATTGGGCGTGCCTCCCGTGGCAGGGAGGTGGGCCAGCAGGAGGCTCTGTTAAGACTTGGCACCCTACACTATCACACACTGCTTTATTAGCATTAGAAATCACAGGGGATGCTTGTTAAAAGGAAGCTTCAACACCCAGAGGGAGATTCCCTAGGGCTCGGGTGGGGCCCAGGAATCTGCCTTTTCAATAGTCTCACCCCATGTTCAGAGGCAGGTTTTATGGAGAAGCTCTTGGAGAGACACTGTCGTTGTAGAAACAGAGTGCAGAGGATTAACCAAATTGCAAATAACTTGATCTTAATTATTGATGTCAGGTTTAAGATACTTATCTTTTTAAAATAGTTTAATTCTACACGGGCCACAACATAGTTTAGTTGTCCCACGTGGATGGGGCCAGACTGGAAAAAAAAATGGGCTTGGGCTCTTCTGCTTTCTTCTGCAGTTCTCCCCTACTAGCTCTGCCCTATGTCCTTTAAAAGGCAGACAGACCTCCTTTCCTCCACTAACTTCAACCTTTTAAGATCAGGGGAAGTTGCTTCCCCTCACGCTGAGAAAGAAACAGTCATGCTGAGCCCTCCCAGCAGTCTCGGAGAGTTACACCTAATAATTTACCTAGGGTAAAACCTACGAGTGAGAACTGACCTGTAGACTCATCTGGACTTGCACTGCTTTTGGAGAAACTGGCAGCTGTCCCCACTTTTGGATTTAATACCATAAGACAATTTCAGACTAAGTTTGAGGCCCCCCACAAAGGAAGAAATACTGCTTTAGGAGGCAGAAGAGTTGTGATCATCACTTCAATATGAAGGTAAGAAAACAAGAGAGCTGTTTTGTGTGGAGTTTTATTTCCATATAGAACTGAAATATGAGAAATAGGAGTAGGAGATGATAGAAATCCATATCCCATGGGAATATTACTATTTTTTTATGTATAAGAATTCTATTCTTAAGTGCCCAGCCCACTCATTATTGAATTAGTTAAGCATAGATTTCCATATCTATTACTACTAAATTACAGAGGGATTTAACCTCTTCCCAATCCAAAACTAAAATTTCATCTGCACCCCCTGGGTCACCCTTACTCATCAAATCTAAGCTTAACAGGATCTTCCACTTACAGAAGCTAGGCAAAAGGATTTCCAAAAGGATCCTTATGTACATCAGGAGATGTGGGTTGAGAAGAAGTCATCTATGAAGATAAAACCATCCAGACAATAAGATTAATTACACTTATAAGAAAACCCCTGTAATTAAGACTTCTCAAATTCCTTTAAAAATCACTTAGGTCCCAGACAAATCGGATATTGTACAGTTTACAATGATTTGTGTTTGCCTGCTTGTAATTGGTGATATGCTATATTTATTAATAACATCAAAGCCAAGGTCATGTGAATTGTTTGCCTCCTCCAGATAGGAAATATTATTTTTATGAGCTAAAGAATCATGGCTGGGAAATCAGAAACTTAAATCTTTGAATGATTTTATTTTAAGATAATATTTCAGCTCAATTATTTTCCCAGAATGCTATCATGAGCCAGGCTAAACGTGATACAAAGGACTTTTTCTGTATGGTGTTCATTTCTCAAGTTCAGGATAGTAGTCCCCACAAAAATAATCATTTCCCCAGTTTGAGTTGTGATGGTTCTCAGTGATAAATCGTATTCAAACATCCTTTACCATCAAAGAGTTTTTAGACAAGCAAAGTTAATTCAGGAGGTGGGAGCCCTGTAGTGCATGTACTTTGGAACAATGGCTTCTTGAAGTTGATACTCACAGAGGCTTGTGATGAACTGAAAGGATCATTAGAGAAAGGGTTCTCAAATGCATTGTCAGCAGATTTGGTAACTGGCATGGCACCTTGTCTGGGAGCTGGCTTTGGTGGTTCTAGAAGGAAAAGAATCTCCAGTAGTCAGTAGGCAAGCTCTCCCTAAATATAGTCGAAAGTTCTCCAGTCAGGCTTATCTTAGAAATTAAGTTCCTTACTTTTAAAATTTACACCCATAGAACAAAAGTTACCACCAAATACTAGGCCTCCCAATGATTATTACAGGCAGATTCATCCCTTCTCAGAAGAGGAAGCCATGCATACTTCTTAAGTGTGAGCGATTCAGAATTCCCACAGTTAAGGCCTTGGAGTGTGGCTGAGGCATTTTTATACAGCTCTCCAGATGCCACACCCCACTGAATTTCAAGAAGTCTTGGCAGCCCTTTTAAGATTTGTCACAAGAGGGCAGCATTGGGCCAGTGGGCCAGCCCTCAGAAATAGCGAAGGTAAAGGTTCGCTCCCTAAGGTGAATGGTTAAATTGTCTCTAAAAAAAAAAGAAGCTCTGCATATTCATATGACAGTGGAAACACTTGTTAGTGCAGTAGACAGAGAGGTGGGTAGCTAGCTTACCACTGATCTTTTTCAGCAGCTGATTAGCATCAAAGTCATCCTGGTCCGCATTCTCCTGAGGAATGCCAACTCTGCTGTTGAAATAATGGGAGAAGGCACTTGAAGTCCCGGAGGAAGTCTGCTCTCCCTTCCTTGCGGGCACCGCAGGGGGCTGCCGCAGTTGGAAGTTCTTAAACATTTCCTTCACTTCCTTTACTTCTTTATCCCCAAGTGGGTCCAAGGCAGTGAAGGCATCGCTGGAGATGTCCTTTGGAGGGCCAGTTCTGGGAGGTGGTTGAGGAGGAGTGGCCAGGAGAGAGGAGAGCATGGAAGCAGGCTGCGCAGCAGCTGGAAAAATATTGCTCTGGAAAGGATTCCCCAAAGGGCTTGTTGATGACCATGTGTTGGGTGCCACAGATGCTGATGGGCCCCAAACAGCAGGGGCTGGAGGGGAAGCAGAAGGCTGGTTCCAACCTGGAACAGCTGGGTTTGTGTTAAAGATGATGGGCTGCCCGAATCCTGAGGATTGACCACCCATCACGGCTCCCGGGACCACGGAAGTAGGCTGAGTGAAGACTAAAGATGATGGGCTCCATGGTCCTGCCTGAGGGGGTGCAACTGGCATGCCACCTGAAGGAAGTGGGGGAAAGGACTCATCAGGAGAGAGCTGGAAGGGGATTCTTGAATTTCAGAGATCACAACCTGCTGGGGAGCATTTATAGAGCGTCTATGTGGTAAACACCTTCATTAAGCTGTGAGACTGATGTGGAAATAGATTCTGAGACATTAAATGGCTCTCAAGATGAACTAGCTAATACAGTACAGCTAGTATTCAAATCCTGATTGCATTTTGAAGCCCGTTCTTTCTTCCACACCTGTTTTAATTTTCCTCATTAGAAAGGTAATACAGCCCATAAATACCTAGTCATGAATAAATGAGTCTCTCCATATGTATTCACAGATGCTGAATTTCAAACAGCTAGAGCAGAGCCTGTCAGTAGCATGAGCTTATTTGTGGAGTGAATACATTTACATATGTTGATTATGAAGTAGTTAATTAAAATAATCCATGGGGTATTCTCAGTCATTGATTTGATCTTTTCGTTTGACAGCTGGCTTCTGTCTGGAGTCTTCTGGAAACCAGCTATCATGTACGTGCAGTAGGCCTCAACATGCTTGCATCCTGGAGAAACCAGTTCAGTTTCCTTGTTTTTAAATGCTGCCAAGATTGACATAGCTATACGAAAGGATGAAAAAAGTTGGATGATGCCAAGATAGTTTTAGATTTTTATATGTAAAAATGGAGGAAAGCCTGGTTATCCTGGGAGAGCTGTTTCAAATAAAAGTGCTTCCTGCCATGTGTCATTCACTAGACCTTGCCAGAAGTTAGAAGAGTATTTAAGAGACGAAGGGAGCAAGACAAGAGGATGTGAAGCAAAAAAACCTTCTGAGGTAACTGGCTTGTGTCTGGTTATCTGATCTCTGTGGAACAATGGCTCCATCTCCTACACCCTCACCATTTTGATTAGTTAGTCAAATCACTACAATTCAGGTCTGTCCAATATTTGTTCCCTTTTCCCTATTCCTGAGAAGCGCGTTCCCCAACAGCTTGTTCTAATACCTAAGGCATTTTTTCTCCTGCCTCTTCCCACATATATTAACAACCTAGTAAAACTGTCACCATGAACAGAAAACCTAAATTCAGCCTCATACCTATTCACAAATGATGCTCTGCACTCAAAACCTACTTGCTTTGAGCTTTGGAGCAGAGCTTTCTTCAGTTATGAAAGTTTTCTAATCAAACTAAGAAAAGGCCTTCAATCTTGGGTTAGGAATGTTTTGTTTCCAGAGTGAGAAATACTTTGAAAATGATGTTCAAGGGCTGTTGTACCAAGATGTTCTACCTTGAATGTTCTTAGTATTGGGGATTGGTGTTACTTGATTCAACTCTGTTGTGAACTCTGGCTATCTGGCCATGAACACATGCAGTGTGCTCACAGGGAGTAGTGGCTTTCAGAAAGGGTCATTTTTATGAAATTAACATGCCTGTTTTTGAGGCAAGGGAACTGGATACAAGATACTAATTATTAAGAGTGGGAAGGTCATAGTCTGTGGCAGGAGAGACTAAAACTCAGGCATACTGGCTCCAAATCCAGCACCATCTCTTCCTGTTCTGCCTCCTTAGCGTCAAGGGACAGGACAATTTTTTTTCTTTTCAGTGGAATGTTAATTCAAATGCTTATTTTACACATACAGAAATTATATTTCATTTACACTAAAGAATATCATATTCCTTTCAAAATGAATCAAGGGAAAACTTCTCTTAGATTCTATAATATAGGCTTCTAAAAGTGGGTTGAATTTGAGCAAAGTTATGGTTAACATTTTAAAACAAATTTATTTAAGTCTTATTAACCAAAGCCAGAGTCACTCACTAATAATTTACACTAATTGGATGTGCAAACTGGGTAGAATTTGATCACCTTTCATGATGGATGACTTGCCTTCCCTTAGGAAAATGTGTGGCTAATTTAGCCATAGATGGTATTAGTGGTGGTGGTAAAAGAGAAAAATAGTATATTTGCCAGGAATTATAGGCTTTCCCAGTATATACTGATGCCAGCCTTCATTCCCATCTACCTGATTCCATGCATTGTGTTTCCAAGATATTTAAGACCCCACTGGAGAAAATAGAGGCAAGGAATAAAGAAAAAGAGAGCGTGGGTTTGAAAGTTAATTTTATCACCTTCTGATGCTAGATTAAAACACAGGGTAGCTATCAAAGCTGAAGGCTCAGCTTTCTACAGTGCCCTCTCCCCACCCCCAGTTCTCGAGAAGAGACAGCCCCCCAGCTGGGTCTAGCGGAAGCCAGACCTACAACCTTCATGGTTTGGCGGAGGATCCCTGTGGGTGGACAGGGGCTATACTGTAGAGCTCAGTGTGAGTCCCATGTCCAAACTGGAAGAATCATCAGTATTCTGCAGTTGTATACCCCACGGCCTCAACAGGGGCACCTCGCCAAAAAGCTTCACTTCGTCTGAATAAATTAACAGTTATAGGGTCCAGCTGTATTTTCAGACTGACTTGTTAAATATTGGCTGTAAAATTCTTCAGGGCATTGATACTAGACTACAAAACTCTGTGATGTGATCTAGTTGCAGGCACTGCAGGCAAGCTCCCTAACCTCCTGCAAAGAGAAGCAAAAACCAGCTTCACTTGGGGGCTCAGGAAAAAGATGCAGAAAGGGAGAAGCCCCCTAGAGACACAAAGTGCTTAGGGAGAGTCTCTTGATGGTGTAGATGCAAGCAGAGACCTGGAACAAGTTGGCTTCTCCTGACCACGGGGATATCAGCCACTCAGCAGTTGGGTAACAACCCCCTCTTGCCATCATGCTCTAAGTGTGATTAAACAGAATTAATGTGACAGAAGTATTTTCCTTTGTGGAGGGAAAATAAAACAAAGTACAGTCCTGATGATTACTGGACTGGAGACAGAGAAAGCCAGAATCCCTGGTCAAATTTCACAAAATGGGAAAGAGAGTCCCTTTTCCTCTACAGCCCCCAACCTCTTCCCAAGACTGAGTCTATTTGGAACTTGTACAGGTGCCAGGAAGTAGAAAAACAAAGAGAATCCCAGCTGGATAGCAAAGACTGTTGTTGGAGTTCCTGAGACTGTGCCATGGAGGCAGAAAAGAAGTGGAGTCTGTGGGCAAAGGGTAGCAGGGCCAGCCCTCAGCCAAGCAGCCTTCCCCAGTGTCCTGCCACAGATGGGCTCAGTGGTTCACGTGAGCTAATGACCATTTCTGAATGCCAGTACCAGCATATCCCAGGTACCTGATAGAGTTCATCTCTTCCCTTATCTCTGTGCTCTTTTCAATTTCACGTTTCTGGTACTTATTTTCTAACTCTATTAAGACACCCAGCCAGCCAAAATATTGGCAAGGAGGAATGAAGGCTTAAGCACTCAGAGACTGATCAGAATATAAGACAGTTCCACACCCACCATGAGCATAGGAACAGAGCTGGGCTCAGAACCGGGATTCTCATTCTATGACTTACACTTGCTTCAGATTTAACTTAACATCCCTAGGGGATATGTATCCCTTCCAAGAGGGATGGCAATTCAACAGGGGGTAGGGATTCGATTGAGTAATGACAAATTGCATGGAAGCCATCCTTATTGCTACCTTTTCTAATAGAGAAGGTAGACAAGGCTTTCTCAGCTCAACTGGGTTTCTCCAGGGCAGCTGGTCTGAGCTTCAGAATCCCTTACGGTTATCTTCAGTAAGCCATTACTAGTTGGTTCAGGTAAGTGCAGTGTTGAAAATGGATGTCTTCTCACGTGTCAACTCAAGGAGCCAAATTTCAGTTAGAAGTTAAGAGTACCAAATGGGGGTGAGGTTGTACAGAAGTAAAAGTGGGACAAAGGCTCCCTAGGATGCTTAAATCTTATGCCCCTGGGACCTACTGGGTATGAAGTACCTTCTTCCTGTGCATTATCATCCTATAAGTGAAAGTAACAGAGTCAAACCTACCTAGACCTGTAAGGGGTCCTGCTGGGGCAGAAGCACTTGTCTTGAAGAGATCGAGAGGGTTGGTCTGTAGGGTTGCGGATTGTCCTGTTGGTGATGTCTGGCCTGGAGGTTCTGAGACGGGAGGAGCAAAGATGTCTGATGCAAGCAAGTCATTTGCCGGAGACTAACGGGGCAGAGACGGAGACAGAAGAATTACTCAGTAACAGTGAGATACGGCTTTGTTCTGTCTCCTACTCTGTACCTCAAATTTGGGAGCCAAAAAAGGAAAAACTTTTTTCTATTACTGATAAACTACAAAAAGATCAAAAAGTCACAGATCTCTGCAGTGGACAGAATATCCAGTCTTGGCATCTGTTGTAACAGAGGACTCTCAAAGAGCAATCTATTCTGCTCATTTACACATTTGTGTTTGTCTGCTCTCCTTATCAGCTAAAAGCTTGAAGCTGGGAAAGAAAAGACAACTACAAATAAGTAAGCTAAATATTTTTGATCATCCTGTTGGATTTAAATCAGTCTGCATAACGGTAAGTAGTATTATCATTAGGCCAGCCTGCATATTCTAATAAGATTTTTCCAAAGATACTTAGAAGCAAAAAAAGATCCAGAAACCACATTTTAAATTGCTTTTAAATGAAGTAATAGTAAATATATGTTTCCTTCAAGACAATGGATTATTCAGTCAGCATTTAAGAGAGGAGACAGACTCTATAGCACCACCTTGGCTATTAATGCAAGATGAGAGGTGTGTTCGGGTGTGTGTTAGTGTGGGGAAGGTACAAAAGGAATCACAAGAACCCTTGCCCTCCCTTCCCAGAACATGACGATCAAACTTACCAGAGGTACAGAAGCAGAGCAGCATTAAAAATGGAAAAACTTGTGTTTAGTTAATAACAGTGACAAGACATGCAAATGGCAAGCAGGGTGTGACAAACACTGCTTAGTGAGAAGCTTAAAAAGGATGGCGATTAGAGGAAAGTATTCCTGGAGAACGATGTGCCTTATCCCACCTTCTATTTCACAGCCACACAGGAAACTACAATAGCAGCAGGAAAGAGTTGCATCACACCACCCTTTGGTACCGAACATGCATTCTGCCAATGGATATGTGGAGAAGACAATTCACCTTAGCGGTTCTTCTGCCTCTTCCTGGTTTGGTACTTTGTGGAGGTGGGATAATGGCTATGGAGTCATGTGGTGAGGACTGGACAGAGCTTTCCAAGTCCTGTTTTACGCCATTCGGTACAGGCAGTCCTTTGGGAGGGCTTCCCACAAAAGGGTTCGGGGAGGGTTTGACATGGAAGCCGTTCTGCTCTCTTTCAGATACCCCATTTTGAGTTCTCACTGCTGGCTGTGTTTGCATACTTGAAAAGGACCACGGGCCTGCCTGAGCTTCCTGTTTGCCAGTCCGGTTAGAGATCTGGTCAAACTGCTGACCAAAGTAATCAACATCCCCATTCAGGGGCCCATTACTCAGTGGAGTAGACAAGCTACTCAACTTCTCTTTCTTCTGATCTGGAGATTTGACAGAATCAAACGAAGAGGGTGTCGATTGATCTGGCTGTGCAAAAGGATCGTCACTGAAAGGGTCAGGATTAGGGGTGGGAAAGAAGTTGAGATTGGCAGAAAAGGCATTTTCAGGTAAGAAAGATGCCTGAGGCTTTGGTCGCGGAAGAGAGCAGGAGGTGATGCCATTTAAGAATGGATTTTCTCTTAAAGAATTCTGATTGGTGTCGATTTCAGAGTTTAGATCCACTAACAGGATATCTTTGCTTTCCTATCACATTTGGAAAGAAAAAAAAAAGTGTTAGTCCATGTGTGACTTCAAATGCGAAAGCTATATAAGATGACCAAGATTATCAAACTTGCCATTAGATTCTGATCTTGACAAACTGGTTGACCGTTACCTCCTCCCATCACCTTCCTGAGTACATCTGGTTGTGCAGCAGATCCTCCCCACCATTCCCCTACCACATGCCCTTTTGTTTAAGTCTAAATATCACTGGTCCTTCATTAAGTGAAATCTTATTTTTGTTTACTTTATTCATGTCTTCCCTCATCCTTACAGCCTGGCTGAGTTCACGAATCATTGTTTTAATTCATGCCTTTGAAAGTCTTGAAGGGAACTAATTTTGAGTAACTCTAAGTGGTTACCTATGTGCACTGAGCTTGAAAGTAAGAAGTGACCTCAGGAGCCCAGCCCTGTTTCCTACTTGATGTACAGTCCCTTCTACTGTACCTCTAAAGTCACATAACATCCTCTCTCCAAATGAGCAAAGGGACTGGCTAATACATTTCATATTTTATAGTGACTGTGATGAAGTTTAAGGTCAAATATATTTCCCTATAATTTGTCTTTCCTCTAAGGAAGCAAAAAAATATTTCTCTTCCCATCACAGCCTGTCAGATATGCCTCTGTAAATACTAAAGGATCTTTTTGAAGTTGTTATCCAAGATGGACCTCTCTCATCTTCATCATCCTGGTCTCCCCTCTGGACATACCCTTTTGTCTATGTCCTTCTAAGAAAGTGATACTCAAAATACTGATATAATCTGATATAATATATTCACACATTTAGCTCCCATAATGTGCATTTTTTTTATGACATAGCATAAAGTTTCCTGAGTTAAGACAGTAATCTCATCTATTTAGCAGATAAATAGTTCTTTCATTTATCTCGAATGTATAAATAATCTAATATCTAATTTGTATATAAGGTGGAGCTGTAGGTTTGTTAATTTGAAAGACATACCAAATGCATAACTCTACGTATTCTATTCCCTCTCTATCATTTTTTTCTGGTTATTAATTATTTGGGTTCTTAGTTGTTAGATTAGACATCCTTCTCAGCATAAAAGCAGCAAATTGATAACTCTTTATTCAGGTCAATGACAAAACTAATTAGGACTGACCCTGGGATAGAGCTGTCATCCTGGCAGACCTCCCTTCTGACTTTGATTCATTAAATACTGAACTATGCTAGCCATAGAAAAGCATAAAAGATAAAAAATGCTTAGTTGAAATGGATTTAGAGTTCTAGCACTATCCTGAGCAGATTATTAAATATTTTGATTACTGGGACAAAACAACCTCAAGGAAATAAGTCTCAAACTAATAAGTAAAATGTGGGTCTGAATAAGCCTTGGCTTTAAGAGAAGAGAACACATTTTTAGGAAGTTTAGGTCTTAAGTCTGACTTAATTAGTGCTCTATATTTTGGCTTTCTTTATTGGTAGGCATAAAAACACAATTTTGTACAAGCCAGCTTTTCTCTTTATAACCAGGAGAGTTTATCAGAAGAGCTTGTAAAAAATTATTTTTTAAATCAAGGAAAAAATTATTTTTCAAATCAAAGAAATGGATTGGAATATCTTAATGTAGGGATCTTTAACAATCAAAGGGTAGGAGAAAATATACTACAAAGCTTGTGATTCCAGTATTTATTCATTTATTATGAGCCACCTCTGGGTTAGAACAGTTGGGTGTTCACAGCTGGTTGAGTTCTCCTTTGCAAACACTTCAGAAGAAGTTCTTAGGACACCAAACAGGAGCCACAATGTTAGACTTCTGAATAGTCAGCCTATAAGTAAAATGTATAAGGCTCTCCTCAGGTTGGGTTTGTTGTTAATCCAAGATTAAGAGTTTAGTTCATAGACTACAACTGAGAGATGTGAGACTCCTCATCTACTCCCTAGGTCAGAGCTTCCTTAATTCTTTGTTGGACTGTGGACACCACATTCAGTTGGTCATCATTTGAGCACCTGAGAGATAAGCACCAGTCACATGAAAGTGAAACACATTCTCGGCTCTTAAGGAATTCTGGGAAGAGTGGCAAGTAGGCAATCACACAAGTGTCTGCACAAAGGCAAGGTTTTAAATCCTGAGTTCCATGGCCTAGCTCTTCTCCAGGTAGTTAATTCCACCTCACCTTTTCAGCCTTCCAAATTCTGGACTTTCCTACTCAAAGCCTTTTGTGGCTTCCTGCTACTTCTTATCTTAAAATAATCTTCATTAACCAGACTTTGAAAATGACCCATAATAGAACCTAGTTTATTTTAGCCTAACCATTATTTTCCTACACATTTCAAAGACCCATTTTCAAGTTCAGATTCTTTGCAAAGCCTTTTCCCATTGATTCTTCTATTTTATCTCCACCTGTGCCCACCCATGGCATCTTGTGTATACATGAGACTGTGCTTTGTGTCCTGATCCCATCCATGTACCAGATTTAACATACTTGATGGGAGACCACCCTTATGATCTTCTCAAAATAACTGTGTTTTCAAATTGCCCCATTTTTAAAGTTAGAGAGCATGTCTTTTTCTTCTTCTCCTTCCTTTTTGACATGCAATATGGAACTGGTTTTCCAATAAAAATTACATTGTAAAGGATGCCACTTAGTTTACAACAATGAGCTTTATTTAAAATGCATAAAATTATTCTGTATGAATGATGAGTGAGTAGCAGATGAGACATGGAACCACTAATAAAGTCTAGATAATTTAGATTTTGTTTTCTCGTCATTTCTTCTGGAGCAACTGCTGTAACATTTGAGTATCTTTAAACATGCTGGTTTCATCAACTATAGGTAAATTTATTTTGTGATAGATGAATATGGAGTCAATATGTAATAACACATTGGCAAAGTCTAACCAGTACACAAGTAGCACTGTTAGCATTCTCTTACTTACCAGATACCATCTACTTTGATGGTATTTATTACTTTATTGTGAGTTTAACTAATACTTGTATTTTATTTCTATGAATGAAAAAATTCTTAGAATGCATGAAATCTAATATAAACGAGACTCAAGATCCTTATATTGCTTTTGTTTTATATTTTCAGAACTTTCTAGAAGACTATAGAAGCAGATTAAATAGTATATGCTTCCTTTCCTAAGACTCCTCATCTACTCCCTAGGTCAGAGCTTCCTTAATTCTTTGTTGGACTGTGGACACCACATTCAGTTGGTCATCATTTGAGCACCTGAGAGATAAGCACCAGTCACATGAAAGTGAAACACATTCTCGGCTCTTAAGGAATTCTGGGAAGAGGGGCAAGTAGGCAATCACACAAGTGTCTGCACAAAGGCAAGGTTTTAAATCCTGAGTTCCATGGCCTAGCTCTTCTCCAGGTAGTTAATTCCACCTCACCTTTTCAGCCTTCCAAATTCTGGACTTTCCTACTCAAAGCCTTTTGTGGCTTCCTGCTACTTCTTATCTTAAAATAATCTTCATTAACCAGACTTTGAAAATGACCCATAATAGAACCTAGTTTATTTTAGCCTAACCATTATTTTCCTACACATTTCAAAGACCCATTTTCAAGTTCAGATTCTTTGCAAAGCCTTTTCCCATTGATTCTTCTATTTTATCTCCACCTGTGCCCACCCATGGCATCTTGTGTATACATGAGACTGTGCTTTGTGTCCTGATCCCATCCATGTACCAGATTTAACATACTTGATGGGAGACCACCCTTATGATCTTCTCAAAATAACTGTGTTTTCAAATTGCCCCATTTTTAAAGTTAGAGAGCATGTCTTTTTCTTCTTCTCCTTCCTTTTTGACATGCAATATGGAACTGGTTTTCCAATAAAAATTACATTGTAAAGGATGCCACTTAGTTTACAACAATGAGCTTTATTTAAAATGCATAAAATTATTCTGTATGAATGATGAGTGAGTAGCAGATGAGACATGGAACCACTAATAAAGTCTAGATAATTTAGATTTTGTTTTCTCGTCATTTCTTCTGGAGCAACTGCTGTAACATTTGAGTATCTTTAAACATGCTGGTTTCATCAACTATAGGTAAATTTATTTTGTGATAGATGAATATGGAGTCAATATGTAATAACACATTGGCAAAGTCTAACCAGTACACAAGTAGCACTGTTAGCATTCTCTTACTTACCAGATACCATCTACTTTGATGGTATTTATTACTTTATTGTGAGTTTAACTAATACTTGTATTTTATTTCTATGAATGAAAAAATTCTTAGAATGCATGAAATCTAATATAAACGAGACTCAAGATCCTTATATTGCTTTTGTTTTATATTTTCAGAACTTTCTAGAAGACTATAGAAGCAGATTAAATAGTATATGCTTCCTTTCCTAATCCATTGGAATTCTGCTTCATAACTTGAGTGCTTTGATCTCGTTCATATACTTCTTTGAATGTCAGTTATACTTGGAAAGCAGGTAGTTCAGATGCCAATTTACTCTGGGAGGGGAGCTACTAAAGGAGGCAGGGCAAAGTTGCCTAGGTCTCAAAAGGACCTCAGAGCTAGGATGGACCTTTCAGGATGATCTAATCCTGGTATTTCAAAAGTTTAACCTTAGAATGTTAGTAAGCATTATGAAGAATGTTGCAGGCTTTTTAGGGCCTCTAAAATACTGTTATGTACTGTGAATCTCAAGTGTTTGGAGCACAGAAGAGTCTGCAGCCCCTGCTCTTCCCCATTCCACTGGGACTGGGTATTTTATGTGACACTTCATAGGCCTGGTATTGTCTGCAGCTCTCCGGCAGGTGAGATTTACCCAGTCGTCCACCTGCTGCTGCTTTGATTCCTACGGCTTCTTGGTTACACAGGCTTGCTTGATAATCCCCTGATAGAAGAGTCTCCTAGATAGACATTCTTCCCATTATTCTAGACTGATGGTCTTTTTGTCTCTCAGCTTTTATGTTCAATTTCAGGAGCTCATTCAGAGGAATTATCTGAACCTCTAAACTAGGTAAATACCTTGTAACTAACATCAACTAATAGGCTTCATTATCAGTTTTAATGTTGGTCTCCCTGCTAGATAGTAACTCCATGATGTCACTGACACTGTGTATCCTCACTCACTTCTGTGCCTTGCAAATAGCACATACACAAGAAACTGTTAAATAGATCACAGAAATTGTAACAAGCCATTCAAAATTACAAGGGCAATTTCAGTTGAGGCCTGTTTAGAAGGTCTGAGACTTGAGCTTAAGCCTTGAACCTGAATCTCTTTCTTGAGTTTTTCTCTGAATCACCATTTCTATATCTGTAAAGGCAAATATTGCTCCATTCTCACAGACTTGTCATGGATTGATCAATATCAAGAAGACTTGATACACTATAATACCTGTAAAGAACAAGCACCTTCTTAAACAAGGCTTTGATTAAACATAACTGAGCCTCTTGTTTGTTTTAAGTCTTACTTCACACCAAGTTTATACTGCTAAATCACAATAGAAAGAATAGGAAAAAAAATGAAGAGGCCAGGAGGTTTACAATTATCATCTAACAATTATACTTATACTTCCTTCAAGGAAACGTATTGGATGTTATGGTTAGACAAGCTAAGGGTTGTTATTCAGTAATTCCTCCTGACCCTATGTAATACCAAGAAGGACTACATTGCCTGACCTATTGCTCAGATTTAACCTGTAAGCAATACTAATATATCTGAGTAATTCCTCCTGACCCTATGTAATACCAAGAAGGACTACATTGCCTGACCTATTGCTCAGATTTAACCTGTAAGCAATACTAATATATCTGGAACAGTGCTGATAGGTTCCCATGGTGACCTAAGATGCAAATGTGACCTAGTAGCCATTTACACATTATGCAAAAAAATCAGCAGTCACCTTTCAAGTTTCAGTGAGATGCTCAAGATTTCTGGTTAATTGCCAATTTGAGTTATAGATGTCATTTCCATTACATTGCAAATTTAAAAACAGACACTTACTGTTGGACTATTTAGGTCAGGAGGTGTAGACATGTCCCCAAACAAATCCATCTGGTCAACACCCTTAAAAAAGTATTTGGATTAGATTCAGATGGGTCTACTGAAGATTACTTTGTATATTGTCAAAATTGCTTCCTAAACCACAATTTAGGAAATCAGTTGTCACAACTGGATTTTTCATTTAATACAGATTTGATATTAGTCTATTTAGGTCAGGAGATGTAGACATGTCCCCAAAGACATTCATCTGGTCCACACTCTTATAGAAGTATTTGAATTAGATTTGGATGTTTTTACTAAAAAGATTACTTTGTGTCTTGACATAAATGTTATACTAATGTTTAGAGAAATTGTCTCAACTGGATTTTCATACAGATTCAATACAGACTTAGTATTAGCAACATCTGTAGGAAGTAAAGCCCAAGTTCAGATAAGTAAGAACCATAAAAAGTCACATACATACCAATTTCAGTTTGTTAGCTTGGTCATCAAGAGTCAGCAGGGTCTCACTCCCATTCTGAAAAGATGGCAAATATTTAAGGGCTTAGTTGGTGAGTTTTCCCTACAGAATCTAATTTCCCAGTGTGTTGGCTTGCAAAGCAGTTATGATTTTGGCACTGATCACTCAACTGTACATCTTCTATGGCCAGAAAGGTCTTGAACACATAGCAATAAGCTAGGAGGAGAGCATGCTTGGGCAGGTAGCACACAAGGCTTATACACATCACATGTGCAAGTCCTAAGAAGTAAAGATACGGTGTTACCTCTACTGCTTTGTTGGCTTCTTCCACCTAAAAAAAAGACACGAATTCAGTGATTTTAGTAATTAAAGCTAAAAGGAGTCAAATAAAATACATATACATATATATATATCTAAAGGTTCATGGACATAAGGCAAGAGAGAGTCTTGCATATTACTTCTGCCCTACATTCCCTTCCCCTTTTCAAACAATACTGGATTTGAACAGAGTTGCTGGACTTAAACTTGGTAGTCCTGTACAGTCCCAGGAATCAGTGTGAAGCTTGTAGGGAGTAAAGACAAAAGTCTGGGACTAGATATCAGAAGTGTCTAACCATATATCCATCCATTCCTGGCAACTGGGAAGAACTGACAATACATTTCTCTACTTTCTATACTTTGAAGCCAACTCTCCAGACAAACTTTATGTTTATATAACATTCACACATGGCCCTGAATAGAGCCTTAATTTATTAGAGCTGGTATTGGGTAGTACTTGCCTTTTTCTTTTCTTCTTCTTTTTTTTTTACATTATAGATAACTTGAAAAAGGTCTTTAAGATCAATGACTAATGGTTCGGCCTAAAGCAAGAGAAAACATCTTTATCAGTACTTTAATCTTACAGTTTTTTCCCCTTTGTCATCCATCATTTCTGATCTGTACCATTTTCCTCCTTTCTCTTAAAGCTCCTTTCTACCTTCCCCTGGGTTATGGGGGATCACCACCACTCCCACCCCCACCTGAGGGTACATAAAGGACAGTGCGGTTAATAAGTATTTAGATAAAACAAGAAGTACCATAATAATTTTCCAAGTCTCTTCAGGATTTCTGGGAATAATTCTCAACTGTTCTAAAATCAGCACTGACCTTGTAAGAAAATCCATTTGACCAGTCCTATACCACATACTCTGCTGGTATGTGTCACATATCAGTGACACATAAAAAATATTTCTTAGACCACTAAAGATAGTCATCCTCTGAGTCACTGCTTAGTCTTCCTACATCTGCTTGTTTCCAACAAGCTCTCTAGTTGAGTGACAGACACTTCTTTGTTCAGCTGCGGGCAAGTGCCCCTCTGGGTGTACCTCAAGGCTTCAAGCTTACCTGTTGCCCTGTTTTTATGGCAAAAAACTGGTGCTGGCCTTCTCCTCCACACACATAGCCAAATGCCCGGTTGTCTGTCACATCACGAGCAATGAAAGAAATCTTATTTACTGGATGTTCATGCTCTATTACCTGAAAAGGAGCATAAAAAATGATTGAGAAAACTAGAATATATTTGTACAACTAAGTTTCAGATATCTAGGCATATGTGAAAGGCTGAAACGTTTGAAGAAAGAATATTTTGCCAATGGCTGAAGACTAAAGCTACATTTATCCTTGCTAAAAAGGGCTCTAAAAGGAACAAGGAGCAGGAAACACAAGTGGGAAGAATGCTCCTCCTTAAAATAGGGATACATGACTTTCTCCATCCCAAAGATGTGGTGCCACATAGCAAGGAAGGCCTGAGGATTAGGAGACCAAGAATTTCTAAAGTGAAGATGGGACATGTTGCCCCAAGCCATTCTAAGTAGGTATGTTTTCCCAACTCAAAGACAAACTCAAGTGAACAGTGTAACTAAGCTACAAGAGTGTTCACAGGGATCCTTTCACAATGGCTCAGAGTGGCCGGAGAATCACCCTAAGTATTATTGTCCTAAGAATTATCCCCAGTATATTCTAGAAGTTACCAAATGCTGTCAGCAACTATTTCACAATCTCACATAGATGTCCACATCATCCAGGAATCCCATGGGCAGGGGGTTTAGTGGTTTAGTAGTGCCTTCTTGTCTATTTCCTCCTACCCCTTTCTCCTGATCCTTTTAAGCAGAGAGCAGGGCTCAGCTCTTCAGGGATATTTGTAGGGTGTCAGAATGTGTATTGGCTTTTGTTTCCAAATGCCCAGGGCCACTTTTCAGTTTTTACTGAAATTTACACCCAGTTTACATAGGGTGTCTTAGAAAGTTCGGAGGGTGAGAGAATCCTTATGAGGGAAACCTGCCACCATTCTCTGGTGGGCTTGGAAAATGAGACTTGAGACGTGAGGAAGAATGGAGATGGCAGTCAAGGCATGAGGCCCAGCAGGGTGAGGGGGCATGGACCCTGGTCAGCTCTAAGCCTGACCGATGGATTCTGCATAACAGATAATGGGTATCTCCAGGAAGGGGTGAATAGTAACTGTAGGTCTCCCCACAGTACTTGGAATCAATACAGTATTTTTCAGCAATGAAAATAAGCTATAAACAATACTGTAAGTAGAGGAATCATAGGATGTTATGGTGAACAGAGAAAAACAAATCCCAGAAGACTTGAAGTGTGATAGCTTTTTGATAAGGCTCAAAAAAACAGAACACCACAAAACAAGCAAGACAATTCACATGTAATTGAACTACAGCAACTGAAATAAAGAACATTTGTGGGGTGAGGAGGAAGGGAAAAGAGATGAGAAGACAAGAGGTAAATGCATTGCAGGTAATATTCTAGCTTTACGTTAGCCGGAACGTTTGCATGTGATCGATGCATTACAAGGAGACCCACGCTTGGACCCCTGACAGCATTGCAAACCAGGGATTAGGATTGATCTACTTCTGTGGACTTAGGGTCCAAAAAATACCCATTTATAGCATACTACAGGCTTGATGTTCACATCTACTATAGGAAGCGAATTTGAAAATAAATGATCATGACTCCTCATCTCCTGCCCTGTTTTCTGCCTGTTACTTCTGGAGAAGTAGTATGTACTCTTTTTTTTTTCCTACAGAATTTTGAAAAGGAAAGAGAGATGCTGAAATTTAAGTCGCCAATTGTTTGTCAGACTCAGGTGGTCAGAAAGGTGTTAGTGAAAGTGAATTCTTACCCCAGTTTTCTCATCAATTATTTTTATCCCAGAAAGGGAAATGTTAACCCAGATCCTTTGTTTGTGCTGTCCCTGAGACCGGCCAGCCGCTGCCATTCCCTGAGGAGGTCGGGAAAACAAGAAAAATCTAGTTACAAGCACCCTACAATGCTTCTGATACTAAAAAAGATTTAAAAGACAATTTTGTTTTCAGCTTGGTTACCATCCATGAATGGGTTAGGCCCCCTTCATAGGAGACAGAAGCATGGAATAGAAGACATTGAGCCAGGGCATCATTAGTTAGCTACATGAACTTGGATGAGTCGTTCTAATAGTCATCGGTAAAGACAAGGAGACTGGACTGGAAGATCTTCAAAGACGTTTCCTCGAAGTCTTGTCTTACTTAACAAGTATTAATTATTTAATTAGTTTCACACAGTTACAGTACTAGAATTTAAAAAATCACAGAACCAAAGGACTAACACTAATTATTCACGAGCTTCCAAGTAGAGTCCTGAATGTCACCTGCATGCTTCCAGGCTCTAACATTGGATGTCCCCAACGGAAAGAGTCCTGCTATGCTTGAGTAAATCAGACAGCAAATCAGAATATGCAAACAAACTCATGACCGCTCATGAACTGAGGAGCTGTTGGATCAGTTTTGTGATTAGAAAAGTCTTTCTTTCAAATATGACCTCCTAATATGACTCCCTCTGTTGGACGTTTGCTGAAGATGGAGCCAAAGCACACTTGCCCCATTTACCTTTAGTTTCATCATAGAATCTTGGCTCATTTTATCCCCTCTTGCATCTGGCACATCATCGATGCCAATTAGCTTGGCCTTGTATTTTACACCATCACCTTTGAATCTGGCCAAAAGATACTCATCGGTCTTTTCAGAGCCTAAGAAAAGAAATAAAGTTTATAAATATTTAAACTTCAGCCCCAGGTATGACCAAATATGCTCTAGACTCTCCAAATCTGAGAACTGTAAATCCTGGCTATACAACTGGCCAACTATGCAATATTGCACCCACTCCCTACTCGCTTTGAGTAAAATTGTGCTCTGTAATACTGCATGATGTTGGGAGGAGAGACAATAAACTCTTAAAGGTATAAATAGACTGAACTATGGGAAACTTAATGGGGATACATGAGGTGGGATTTACTAATATTCTTTATCATAGTTCTTAAAATATTTTTTTAATGACTTTAAGGACAATAATGCTTTTTTAAGTTAAAAAGAAAGGCACTGCACAACTTAGTAACATTTCAAACTAAGCAGTAAGGCAGAAGGGTATTACTAGTAAATTCCTTTGAAAATCATTAAGATAATTACCCATCCTTACAACTTTTGTCTCTTCAAATGCCTGTGCTATCTCAAGTGTAGAAGCGAAAGGCAAACAAGTCATGGAATATTCTCAAACTATCAGTGATTAAGGACGTTAGTGGTGCTTCTGGTCAAGAGAAGAGGGTCAAATCAAGAAAGGACAACAATTTCAATAAAGCAAGTGGTAAATAGGTTACTGAGAGATAACCGTTTAATAACTGATAATTGCATTTATCAACTGAACAAGATGCTATGAAAACTTCCCAGCAGGACCCAAGTTGTTGCAACCTCAGGATTCAGGGACGCATCTTATTGTATATGGAGCAAACTAACCTCCTCTGCCAAAGTCCAACTCTCCTATTAAAGAGGACTTGAGACTAGACTGAAGTCGAAACAAGGCAACATCCAGCTCTTAGCTCTTACTTTAGCCTGAATTCACATTCCTTCGGAGGTAACTTCCGCTAGCTCCCCTCACTGGCCTCAAGAGGGTTTCTCCATACCTTTCTTCTTTTCCTTCTTCGATGGTGCTTTGGGTGCAGCCTGTTGGTCTGGCTGACCATTAGTTGTACTCGTTTCTACTTCGTTAGACATGGCAAGAGGCAGACAGCAGAGTCCAGCAGCAGCTGACACTTAGAGACGCCAGGCGATCCCCAACGGAGACGTCTCAAATGGACATAACCCACCACGGACACCTGCAGGCAGAGAGAGGTGTGAAGAGATCCTTGCAGCAAACCCTGACTTTACTCCACAATGGGGCTACAACTAGGGATTCGTGAATACAGTTCTTCAGACTCATGTTGTTCTTTCTCCTCTATGAGACTCAACTCTGAAAGCAGGAGAGTGGGTAGGATTGTTTCCTTGGTCATTTCCAAAATGGAAAGAGGTTATTTACGAGACTTTTTGCATAACATTTAATGGTTATCTAGCTAAGCAATTTGTATTAGAAGTTAACCATAAAAATTAAAGATAAGGATAAAACATGTCACGTGGAAAAATAAGGTTTCACAGCAAAACAGAAGTAAATCGGATGAGGAACCTGAGAACACAGCCACTGTCATCTGGAATTGGGCATTATAAATTCTGGTGCTTGACAAAATCATCTAACTCCAAAAGCAGTGACAGAAGTAGAGTTATGAATTTTCTTATTCATATTGATAAATATTTTTTAAAATGTTAGTATTCTGCATATAATCTCCAGGGCTATCTAAGCAGTACACTTTAGAAAACATTTATTTTTGACATTAACACATGTATCAGAGAAAGAATGAACTTATGGGGTGTCTATTGTGCAATTCATTGAGCGTAAATATTTTAATGCTATTATTCGGTATCACTATTCCCAAAACAGCTGTGGTATGTGGCTCTCATAAAGCTCTCCCATGTATCATAGTAGGTAAAACAGAAAATGCAGAGTCATTATAAGCACATAGAAGTGAACTAATATTTTGACAGGTTTTCCCTGCCTCCCAGGAGTCAAAGTTTCAATACAGCTGAAAGAGCTAGGGAGAGGTTAACTTCCTACATGGACTGAAGGCCAAAGGCAAAGAAAAGCCATTCAGAGTTTTGTTATACTGCGAAGACCACCAATGGGCTGGTACACTCCTCCCGCCCCAAAGAGCCCTCTTCATTCTGTGCCTTTAGCATCCATTTATTTGATGCTTTTTAATTCAAGTACCACATCCACTATGTGGGAATATATGGTATTTGTTAGACATTCAAAGGATAAAAAGTAAGTCTCAGGTTTTTACTTACTTAGCTTGAATTGCACTTCTGCTTCATAAATATTAACAGGTTTTCCTGAAGATCAGTACTTAATCTCTCCTACTGCATGAGTCTTTAGTCTTTATAGTCTTTAAAAACAGATATATACATAAATCAATGTATAATTAATGTTAGCTGAATTATTTCATTTGAACAGTTAGTAATTAATTCTGTTCAAAGATGCCTGAGGGGTAGGCAGCCAGGGCTTTTGATGAGAGAGGTGTTTTATAGGTAAACATCTTACATAGTGGAAGATTCAAAGCCCTTTTTACTCAAGACTTAGTTGCAGGGCAGGCACTAGTAGTTTTTTACCTGTATTAACTCCAAAACTTCACAGTAACTCTGAGTATCATGATCCAGTATTATTTTACTTTTCCAGAGAAAGAGCCAAGGCTGCTATGTGGGTCTAAGCCAGGCTGTCTGGTGACAAGCCAGAGCTCCTCGAATGTTCCACTGATGGCTCTTATCTGAGAAGCTTCAGACTTGCTGCAGAGATGCTCTATTGCCCATCTGTAGTGGCCCCCAAAAAGGTATGTCCCTGTCCTAACCCTGAACCTTCGAATATGGTCTTATTTAGGAAAAGGGTGTTTTCAGTTTTAATTCAGGACCTTCAGCTGAGATTATCCTGGATTTAGGGAGGGCCCTAAATGCCCTTATAAAAGGAGAGGAGGAATTTGAGACATAGAGACACACAAAGAAAGTAATCTGGGACAGAGATGGAGAATGAATGGAAACATCTACAAACCAGGAATGCCAAGGATTGCCAAAGTTCACTGAAGCTAAGAGAAAGGCACAGAACGATTCTTCCTCAGAGCTCCAGAAGGAACAGACCCTGATGACATCTTGATTTAGGCCTCTGGCCTCCAGGACTGTGAAAGAAAAAAATTTCTGTGGTTTTAAGACACTTAGTGTTTGTTAATTTGCTAAGGCAGCCCTAGGGAACCAGTACACCACTCTTTTGTACACCTTGATGGTTTTCAGTGGTTCCCAGGATTTGTTTCCTCAAGAAGTGACAAATCTAGTCATATCCACACTCTTCCAATTTCAGAAAGCCATAATCACTTTCTTAATTTCAAAGAATTTATTCCAATTCAAGAGGACATTGACCCATGTTAAAACCATCAGGACGTGAGACTAAGCTCTGACTGAAGGAGATGCTTTGACTCATCCTGCGTCACCCTCACCTTCTCCCCAGTGGGCCTTTCTTTTATAAACTGTTCAGATCTCATCGTAGAAGTAAGGAAAATACTTCCCTATGACTGTGTAGTACTCTGATCATCAGCCCATGGTCTTTTCATGATTAAACAATCTAAAATTGATGGTCTCCTACCTTCTGCCTTTCCATATTCCCTTCCCTTGAAAGGACTGACTGATTATCACAACTCTAGCCTCAGAAAATCAGCATCAACTGCTGATTGGTCTGACCTAATCCAATTACTTTGCTACTTTGCTTTTCATCCTGCTGGGGGTATCTGACTGCATGCATCAGACACTTAAACTTTCTGGTGAGCCGTCCACCCCCCACCTACTATTTGCTCCCATGACAACCTTGAGGATAGGGTCCATGGCTGAATTGGGATGATCTGGATTTTATTTTTTTAATGATGAAATTCCTCTCAATTTTAGAATAGTGTTTGGAGTTTACCTGTTTGGTCCTGTGATGACTCCTCATTCATTTAGGACAAAGATTTTAACTTTTTTGTTTTGTTTATGAGACTCTCAAATATTTTGCTCCTCCTTACCTTCAATCTCCTTTCCTTTCACTCTTGTATGCCATATCTTTTAGAGCACTTTCTGCTTTTTGACCCCTTACCTTTTCAAATTTGACAAGCTTCCCTGTCCCCCACATCCTGTCCATCCCAGTTACCTATTTGTTCCTGAAGAGAGAAGGAAAGACCTCTCTCTGCAGCCTTCCCGTTTTCCCCACCAGTTCTGGTTGAAAAGTAACCTGGTATAGAGTTTGTTGACCACCTTTGAGGCCTGATATTGCATTTTCTGCAGGATATTATTTCTGACAAGAAAAGATTTAGCTCTTTAAATTTAGCAAATTTTATCCTGAAGTGAGAATATTTTAAAGGGATTTGTGTAGTGCCACAAGTATTTTGAGGGGTTTGGGAGAGGAAAAGGTGGTATGTGGTTTAGTCAATTTAGTCATAAAGGCAGTATAAGACATACAACCTCACAGCTCAAGACCAGGTATCCAATCTAGTGCTGGTAGACTGGACCAAAATGGAAAGAGCTCTCATTTTACAGGAAAACTCTTTCAGACACTTCAGCACAACTTTTCACAGCATTGGAATTGTTTCAAAGGTATTTGCGGTTCTTTGACTATTATCCTTTCACTGTTTGGGGATAAATAGTTATAAGATGCAAAGCAGAAAAAAAATAGGGAGAAAAGTTTCTTTAGCATGAATTCCCTGAAGAAAAGGTGTGTGTATATTGGGTTGCAATAAGCAAGTGTAGGTCTCCATTGTAGATTGTACAATTTAAAATGTGTCTATATCCCCTGAAATGAATGTAAATTAACTCTGCCCATAGGCTGTAAGACTCAAAGATAAATCCCTTTTGTAGAGAAATGTTAAAGGTTTCTTTAAAAATTTTAACAGAAATGTATATCCAGTCACACATGTACCAGAATGATAAAAGTTCACCTATCTCCCAAGGTTTAAAAAGCAAATATCCCACCAGAGACAGTTGAAAGCCCAAGTTATCACCTGACACAGAGCAGAAGGAAGAAGTCTTGCTTCCAGACTTAGGTCCCTCTGTAGAGAATAATCAACTTAAATGCAACAGTTAGAATTCAAATATACAATCCTTCTAACACTGTTACAGAGCTGCCAATTGTGCCCATAAAATGTTCAGCACACTTTATAATAAATTGATTTTTGGAAAGGATTTGGGCCTAGGAATGGGATCTGAGGGCCAAAAGATGCCCTACTTAATTCATTTGATTACTTTCCTGAACTAGGGCATTGTTAAAAAGAAAAAAAAAAGTCTATATTGCATTAGGGTTATGTGGTCTGTTTTAAAGCTCTAGCAAGGTAAAAGGTTTTTTATAAAGGGAAACAAGTGGGTGTAGGACAACCAGGAAGAATATAGTCTTCTCATTACTGGGTTTAGTCCCAGGGACTCTTTTGACCAAGAAGCACAATATGAATCATGATAACACCACAGAAGTGCTATCATAAGGCAGGGATTACAAATTAAAGCTCAAAAATATATACAGAGGGTAACATGAATAGCTCTCCATCTAAACCTAGCTGGTTCTAGTTCTTTGGGCTGGGCTGTTGCCTTCATTAGACACTAGAGAAGAGAAATAAGAAGATTCTAGTTCTTTGGGTTAGGCTGCTCCCTTCATTAGATGCTTGAGAAGCGAAATAAGAAGATACATCTGGAAACAGTTAGGGATCTAAAGTTATTGTTTATTCTTGAGTCCTTCTTAAGATCTAATAAAGATCAGAAAATTGTAAATGAAACTTAGCGAAGTCAATAAAATTAGCTTCCATCAGAGTGAAGATATCTAACTTGGATTTTGGACTTAATACAAACCTTCTTGAAAGAATGTAGGGACTTCCCCTTTCCATAGCACAAGAACTGGATGACTAGAAGAGATTTTGAAGCTTGCGACATCTTCTTTGATTTCTGAGAAGTTTCTGAGATAGGTATACCAGAAGACTGCATGAGTCATCTTAGGACCCCATGTCCTTTGTACTAGAAAAAAATCTGCTATAGTTTGTTTATCCCTTAAAGTGATTCATACAAGAGATCTAGTATTTAGAACCCTGGAATAGCCAGCATAGGAACGAATTTGTGTAGGGAGAAATTTGGCTGGAACTTTCTTATTCTCACTTATACTTTCCATACCAGAGAAGCACTGGTATCAGCAATGATACTATTTAATAATTCCAGGGTTCTAAAGCAGTATCATGAT